CCCAACGCCTCGTGGCGTAGCGTAGTGCTGCCACCCCATCAATTCGCTGTTCAATCCACGAGAATGCTACTTCCTCATCCCCCTCGGCTAAATCCACCGCGCTTTTCAAAAGGGACAAAGTAAACAGGCCGAGCTCCTATGCACCTCATTTAAATTCAATAATGGGGATTAGCTTGATCCGAACACTTTGGGCCGACGACGAGAGCGGCGGCGGCGGAAGGGAGTGAGGGAGGAAGTAGTATAGTGCGAGAGCGAGCGAGAGAGAAGACGCGGTCCACGGAGGAGGGAGCAGGGGAAGCTGGGCGGAGGACAGAGACGGATCGGGAGAGATCTCGGCGGGAGAGACAAAGATCTGAGACTAAGACGCGAGGGCGGGGAGTGTTGGCCGGGCTCCTAGCTCGGCTGGGTGTCGCCGTGACTTAGACTGAAAGAAGGAGAGAGGACAAAGGAATGCGTGTCCCGCGGTGGATTTAATTATGCGAGCCTTTCTCTGCGTCCTCCGGGTCCTGCAGGTGCCGAGAGAGAGGGAGAGAGACAGAGAAAGAGAGAGAAAAAGAGAGAGAGAGAGAGAGAGAGAGAGAGAGAGAGCCCTCGCAGACACCGTCTCTGCCTCATAACCCAATTAGCGGATAATTCGCAAGGAAAAAAAAAAGTCCGTTGTCCTGGTGGAGGAGCTCTGATACGTATTCCATTATTCCAAGCCGGACATTTTTATCAACGAGAAAGAAATCTGGTCGTGCGCAACTGCTGGTACTTTCTTGACCCAGTTTCGCAGCCGGAGACACACTCAGGAAGGGTCGAGATAAGCTAAGTTTGATTTGCACAGAAAGCGCTTACTACTTACAATGCTATTGGTTCGTGAGAGTCCATAAATTACCAATAAAAGTGCCAACGCCATTCTGAGATGAGAGTGCGTCCTAATGGTTTTGGCGCTGCGATTAGCGAGCGCTGTGCACCGCACACATTACACTGTTTAATTTATTTTCTGATAGTCCATTATTTTTTTCCCCCCGCCGTGGATCGTGTCCATCACGCCATTTGGTCGCGCGACAGCCCGGGCGACAGGCTAATGCCCGTTTAATGAAAAGCCCGACACACTGGGCCATGATTGGCCGGCGTGTTCCACGCGACAAATAACAGTCGGGTTTCATTCGGGATCCGTTCGGGTCACCGTCGTCACGACCGGCGCGCCGGCAGCGGGGCGGAGCGCGTGTAGGCCTTGACCGCGGGAGCAGGGCGGGGAGAGAGTCGCCCTCTACGGGGCTTCCTGATGCTCATCCAGCAGGGCGCATGTGTGTCGATGTGACTGACAGCAGAACTCAACGGTTGCGGGGGGGGGGGGGATAAAAAAAAAACATCACACCAAAGCGAAACCCATTGCTTGTCATTCTGCACAAATCCGAAGGTCTCTCTAAAATAATAATAAGCTACTTTAGAGAAATGGGAAAGAAACAGCACGTATAACAAGGTGGCCCGTGATTCGTCGCCAGGTTTCCCCCTCCACATAAGCGACGAATCAGAGGCCTCCTCGTTACTCGTGCTTTTCTTCTTTCCCATTTCCCTGAAATAGCTTATTACACGTATCATGACGGTGGTGGAGGCAACGCGGCCCTGGCCGCTGCTACCCGCAGGACGCCCGGCTCTTTATAGTTGGAGCCCAAACTTTAGCATTAGGCAGAACGAAGGCGGCGGGTCTGTGTGTTCAGCACCGCCTATCAGCGGGGTAACGACGTTGTCACCCTTGTACGCGCCTCCGGCCGCCCCGCCGCCTCCCCTCCGACGCCACCCCTGCCGCCTGCCTGCACTCCCCCC